TATAAAGATAAATTGACATGATGCCAAACTGTCGAGATGTGTAAACAAGGACAAAAGATCGAACAGACCGTCTTTCACATATTTTACGACAGATCTCAGGACTTTATTCCTGTCGTCTGAAGAGAGATTGGGTAATCAATCACTCAGCGACATTTCAGTCCACAGTCAGTTCCATAAGCAGCCAAGAAAATTGGTGTACCTTCCGAGCTGGCAATGAGTCACATTGCCCGTTTTTGCGTTTAAGAAAATTACCTCTCACGTTAAAGCAACATTAACCCTTTAAAGCCAAAGCTCGTCTAAATAACATTTAAGAATTCAGCTCGTACCGCGAAGAAAACACTACACTTCACCATTACGAATATCAGCTCGTTCACCCTTTAAACCCGCAGCTCGTATAAATAATATTTTAAGAATTCAGTCCGTACCGCGAAGAAAACACTACACTTCACCATTACAAAGATCAACTGGTTAACGTCGTTTAAAGAAATAATCGCTGTTTACAGCGAGAATCATACATAATTCTCATTGAACTGTAAATGGTTAATATTTTTGTATGTCTGTCGTATAAACGGACACTAGATCAGAAATGGTTTGTTTTCATATTTATACTGCACATGGAATTTTATCGAAAGCTTTTAAGTTCAAAATTTTCGTTGTTAATGAGGCTCATAGAACAGGTACGACGTAATTTTGAATTAGTGACGCACGCAATTATAAAATGGATATTACATACAAGCAGCATGCATAAGGAGAGATTAAAAATGCATACAAGATTTCAGTCAGACCATCTGGGAGGCCTAGGAGCAGATGAAAGAATATTATTAAAAAGTATCTTTAAAAAATAGTGAACGAGTTTGTGAATGGATTCGTATGGCTCAGGACTCGTGGCTGACTAGTGTGATGATAATTTATTGTGCTGAAGTAAATCTTTAAGTCTACGAGTTTTGAAAATAAATAATTTTATTTACGAACTTACTGTTTGGCAGCCACAGTACTCAAACAAATAGTATTTTAGTAATTTTAAGTGAAGACTACAAATTATAAAGCTCCTAATTATGTAATTTTTGCCATTCTTTTGTTACGTCTTCACAAAAATATTTCAAAAATAATTTGTGGCCGGAAGGAACGTAAAACTTCCTTCAATGCAACATGTCCTGGTAATAAAATTAATTGGTGTGTTTAATGTTATGTTGCAGGGCCTGGGAACCTGACATGCTACCAATGCACTAAATACAAGAACGAAGAATGTGGCAGTGAGAGTCTTCTGCCATGCCCTCCAAGCAAAGACCGCTGTGTTACCCATATCTCAAACGATGGTGAGTTAACGGCAACACAGTGGAGCACACAGAACTTCTCAAGAAGCTGATAGTCACTCAGATAGTCAAAAAGTCCTGAACGTTTTACGGAACCGCAAGGTCTCTTAATTTTTAACAGAAATGGAATAGACCTAACTGAATTACTACACGTAAACATGATACAATAAACATCTGAATATACGACACAATTGTACGATAAAAACATAAATTTATATACAATGAAAATGGTTCACATAATTCAAATATAACTTTTGATGTTTGTGGAAAATCATCACTGAAATCAAGCAATAAAACCTTTTTGTAGTAATTGTTATAACTCAGAACTTACCTTACATTCAGATTTCGAAGTAAGAAAATTTCCACAGCTCCGACTGAGCTTCTATGTTTCAAGCTGTAGTTAAAATTGAATACACCCCCAAGGACCACCAATGCTACCAATATTACGGAAATTATCTGTAAAAAAAGAATATAAAAAGCGGTCACTGAACAGAAGGGAATGGAATGGAATGCATTCTCATATATCGATACAGACATCGACGGGACGATATGTCACTGAACAGCAGGAAAAATGGACAACAGTTAATAGAGAGACAACATCATTTTAAATTACCTAAATAAAAAAAGAATTTTGGCACGTTCACAACCAAAACTAGCAGGAAAATGCCCATTAGCTTCACCATGTCCTTATTTCTGCGTGTAATAACTCAAGAACTGCTAAACGGATTTTCTTAAAATTCGATACAAATTGGGGGGGGGGGGGGGTA